AGCGAAAACATGGCAGAGAGCTACCAATTTCTATCGCAATTTTTTGCTCGAGCGACATATTTCTCGCTTGACTAAGAAAATATGATCCTTTTTTGCTTGAGCGAGAAATTTTCACTTAAGTTAAAATGAATAGTCTTTTATTCTTTTTTTTTTTTTTAGAAACTCTTCCATTTTGAAAACAAAAAATACAATTAAAAAATTAGGGTGTTACAAGAAATGTCTTACTCAAGAAAGATTAATTGATTTAGAAAGGGCATCTCTAGAGCATTCTCGCTCAGGCAAGATAGTTCTTGCTCAAGCAAGATTAAGGCGGTAGATGAAGAACTCTATGGAATAAAAAGGTATATTAATATAGAATATTGAGAAGATTTTCAAACAAATGTCCTAATCTAAAATGTCAAAAACTGACATTATTGTTGATGATGAAGGGTGATTCCTTTTCCTTGATTACTAAATGATATAGTCCTTCCTTTAGTTTAGTCAAACCTATTGTCTTCAATGTACACACTTCCTGGATATGACAAGAGTCATTAGAAAAAGTTATGAGGTATTTGAGTGTAAAAATGAGTTTGAAAATAGATAATAAATTAAAGATAAATTCTGGAACACATAAAACATTATGAATGACAAAGTTTGGTGAGAAATAAATAGTTCCAGAGAAATGGGTTTAGACGATATTTCCATTTGGTAAGTTAATTTTTGTTAGTTTAATCTTGGAGTATGAATGGAAATAATATAAGGATGAAGCAATATGGTTAGTTGCTCCAGAATCCACAATCAATGGTGTGGTGTGTGATGAAGTGGTATTAAGTGTGAGTGGTGCAGATAGAAAAAATGTAAGTGGTATAAAAAACATGGTTAATGAGATGATTTAGGTTAGAGTAAGAGAGGTTGGCTTGAATAGGCATAGCATCTGGGCTCATACCAAAAGGTCAAGGATTTTGTTAAAGGATTGTCATGAGCTAATGATATTAGGCCCAGGTCCTTGTGCTGGTGTGATATTAGGCCCAAGTCCTTGTGTTGGTGTGTTTCTGCGGACTTCTCCTTCTTCATTGGAGGCGCCTTTCACAGCATTTGCATATGGAGTATTTTTATTGCTAATGTGTGGCTGTCCAGGATACTTAGGGTGGCCGGGCGGATAACCAAACTTAGCATAGCAAACATCCATTGTGTGTCCAGGACGATTGTGGTGTTCACATTTTGGGACAAAGTTGCCATGTTTTTTATAGAAAGTATAGATGGTGTGACCGGAACGGCCATAGTGGTCGCATTTGTGGTTAAAAGGATTAATGTTAGCCCCCTCTCCCGTTGTGGAACACCATGACCCTTGCCGGAAGCAACATTAACGAAGGGATTGAGTTCAGTAGAGGAGGAAGTAGCACCCATGTGTTGACATTCTTGTAGAATAATCATAAAAAAAAAGCACGATTTGCAGAGGGCAATGGATTAAGGAGAAATATCTGAGACCGCACCATTGAAAAACATTCATCAAGACCTTTGAGGAATTTGATAATGAAATCATGATGGTGGAATTCTCTGGCTGGGCATGAGCAAGGCATCAGGGGACGAAAATTGTCCAGTTCCTCCTAGAAAAACTTGAGAATGGTATAGTAATCAGCAACTGAATTGGTACCCTGTTTAAGAAAATAAATCGTTCAGCCACACGAAGAAGGTCTTCCTGGGAAAAACGCTCGTGGAGGTTCATCCACACATTGACAGCAGTTTCAAGATAAAATGATGCTATGTGTGATGGAAGGGGAGACGAAATTAAGGAGCCAAGATAGGATAAGTGTATTGCATCATTCCCAACTAGGAAACAAAGGATCTGTGGAAGTTGGAATAGGAATGGAATCATTGAGGAACCCAGCTTGTTTTTGGGAATGAGGGCCAAACAAAAATATCATGACCAAGACTGATAATTATTGCTTGATAGAGTTAGAGTAACAATAACAAAGGATAGACTCTCACTAGGGTGGATATAAAAGGGATTAGATGGATTTTGACTAGGGTCAGAGAAGACACAAGGAGGAGGTGGTGGCATGTTGTCCTCAGGACCTGGGGAATCAAAATTGTTGTTGCCATGAAAATTAAAGGCTCTGGATACCATAAAAGGGAAATGAAGAAAGGAATAAAAACAAGAATAGAGGCATAAAATTCTGTGTATACTCTATCGATTCTGCATATTCTCTATCAAATTATTACAATGTATATATACAAAGTGAATGCTATAAAAGGCCAAAAGGGATAAGAAAAAATAAAAAATCAGCAGAAAATATTCCTGTACAATTCTACAGCTCTTCAATTTACAGCTCATCAATTCTAGAATATTTATTTTGTATACTGTTTAAAACTAATATATTGTTGCTGGTGATATATGGCTGTTGCATCATTTTGTATTTAGAGATTATTCATATGTTTTATCTTTTAGAATCAACGAAAAGTTTATATGTAATGAGAGACCGAAAGAAGATGCTTTAGCCATTATGCGAGCTAAGTGGTTTGCTATGACAAGCTTGGTGTTAGCTTCATCAACATTGGTCTTTGACCAGATTAGCCTTCTTTCATCGTCTGGAAGCATGCAGAGGGTGACCTTAGGTGTTGAATGAGGGCGTTGTCTTATCATTTTACCTTTGTTCAGAATGAATGGTGAAAGACGAGGACTCAAGCCGATTTGGGGCAATGAGTATCTATGTAGATGGTTTTATAATATATTTTCCTAGTGTCTATTTAAGAGTTTGATAAATTTTGGTGGTTCTTGTCACCAAATGTTGCTTCCTGAACGATTGGTCAATTCAACTATTCATCCTTTGTAAATATCAACTTAGGTCGTTCCAATGCCTTTTTTGCATTAATAACTGGATACCGGTTTAATAAACCTTAGTCTACCATTTTAAAATAGGATTATTGATTTGTGGAGAGGAAAGAATAGACTCCTCACATAGCTAAATTGATTGCTACTTCTGGACTAGTTTCTTTTTGGTAGCACAAGCTTGGTCTATTGTATTTGTTCTCCTTTTGATCTTGACATGTTGTGTCTTGACTGTTTCAATAGTGATGATCATTTCTAGATCATCTTCCTCAATAGGTTCCAGTCTCTCTTGACTGATGAATTTAGTCTTTTTGACTATCAACTATAAGATAGTTAAAGCCTTCTTTATTGTTGGCTATCTAGTGCCAAATCGATGGTCAGACCATCGTTCTTGTCTTCTTCATCATCTAAAAATATGATTTTCTTTTCTGCATTTTTTTAACAGTGCACATAAATTCTTATTTGCTTAAGGTTAGTGGCTTTAAACTGAGTCCAAACCACCAGTTGTTCCCGTCAATGTAGTCGATATTGTGTTGATGCGAAATTCTAATGAAAAGCATACCATGTATTCTTTGCTTCTTGTCAAAATAAAGGAGACAGTTGAGAAGAATGGAGGGTAGGTTAATTTTTGCATTCATCATTAGGTGATAGATGTAAAATCTATCCAGTGTCATTGGCGCTCTTCCTTGGTGCTAAAATATATAGCTTAACAGAGTGAAAGACGCAAGTGGTTGGCTTCATGGCAATTAACTTCAGCTTTTCATGGCTCTATAACAAAACCCTGTTGACCGGGGTGGAGGAAGCTTTTGTTTGAATTGGATCCAATTTTAAAATGAGTCATGAATATTACTTTTTTTACTTTCTAGTTAATTTATTTTTTGCAATTTACATTGAATTTGATCACTTTGCAAATATTTGTATTGGTTGCTAACCTGGTCCTAGCTTTTTACTAGTAGGTAGGTTGTGTGGTTTAGAGTTTAAACTATTTAAGTGGCTGTAAAATTTAGTGTAAAAATATAAGGCTAGATGGGTTGTACGATGGGCTTGAAATTTAATTGACACCTCTATTCTTCACCAAATCCTTGTTTCTCCACTATTCTCACCATGTATTGAAATTATGCCATCAAGGAGAGGACTCGTAGGGTTTAAGGATAAGGTACTGTAGTATCATTTTCTGACTCGTTAAATATTGTTAGGTACTTAAAACTCAATACTCGTACCCGATATCTACAATTTGTAAACTAAAATATAATATATCTAAATTAATTTTGAACTAATGAAGTATAAATATCACTATAAAATAAAACATTTTAAAAATATTTCAAATAAAATAATAAATTATAATACAATATATATGAAATTATAACAAGTATTTATTTACAATTTTAGTTTTAACTATAGATATACTTACGATGTATGTGTTATATATATATAGAAGTAAATAAACATGAGTACTGTAATAAAACCAAATTCAAACAAATTAAATGAGTATTTACCTGACTCATAAAGAATCATTTTTGCAAATATGGAATGAGGACAGGGCCATTGCCATCCTCGACTTGTTGCATCGCACAATATTAACCCAGCGACATTGCCCCCTAACCGTGTATGAGCTCTTTGCATGTTTCATAAATATGAAACCCTAATCAGATCAACATAGTACGCCTTCATTTAACATGGAGTCCCAGTTCTAAGTTAATGATTTCCATTAATTATGGCTGGGGAAGAACCAATGAGAGGGAAACTTGACCTAACTGTTAGGGAAGTATGTAAAAGGATGCTAACTGCCAACGATGCAGGGTTTATCTAAAAAATGTTGTATAATTCCTTTCCTAAATTTCTACAAATCCAACTTGTTTTGCATTGATGAAAACTGTCTATGTATACTAAGTACTATCCCTGTCGAGAAGAAAGGTATACCTTCGAGAAGCAGAAAATATTACAATATAGAATTAAAAATTTTACGGATATTGTTGGTCGGTAGCTAATGCAATCTACAAGGGACAAACATAAGAAAGAAAAATCAGTTTAAGGCACGACCAAGTCTGTTTGAATTTAGACAACTAAATATGAACTAAGTTCAGTATCATCACAGTGCGATGATATCAACATTTTAATGTTTGGTCAAGTAGACCACTAACAACGTCATTTCTCCTGATTTGCCACAAGTTCGCTGAAAGAATCCAAATTGTCCAGATGACAACTAGGACACATGCATCTCCTTTGAAGCTCCTCACCAAGTGAACTATATGTTGCTTCCAATTTAGAAGATTGCTTGTTTCCAGTTAAGGACGTAACTCTGCTTTGATTATGCTGCTAATCAATTAAAATATTTTCTCTATATTTATGATGCTAAGATCACATTAACTACAAAATCTAATTTGCGAGAAGGGGGGATTGAACAATAGCATGCTTTTCTGTTGTAAAGAAAATTACAATTCTTGTTCATCTCTCTCTCTCTTTCTCTCTTTTCATTTTGATGAGATTTACAGAATGACAAAAATCTAGGTTGTGATTAGCTTGATTTTGGTCAGTAATATTCTTGCATTGATCAAGTGTCGCCTTCTATAGTTTCTAGGTATACTGTTCAGCCCTCGGAATGAATCATGGCGAAATAGTAGCTTATAACAATGGAGCACGCTAATTATATGATAGTGAAACATACCCATTAAATTCACTGATTTCATTTACAATTTGTAAATCACCTCCATCGACTTACGGGTATTCTACTGTTCTTTGTTAGTGAAATTATTCTACGATTTTAGGTTGTGTAACCTGCGAGGCAGAGACTATCAAACAATTGCACCAGTTAAAAATTTGTAAGGATATATGGTTAGATCCTGCAATTCTTCTGTTTCCATGACTATCATGTTCATTAAGGAAACCTTTCTTTCGTGATCAATCAATTGCTGTTGGACCTGCAGGTTCTCCTTAACTTGAGAAAGGGTGAAATGAAAATTAAGAAAATAAAGATAAGGAAGGAACCCTGAAATTCTCGTCTTACGTTCTTATAAATTTTCTGCTCTGCTTGGTATTCCTCATCCGCTTTAGCAGTCTGAGATATTAACTCCAAAAGCCTACTTTCAAGAACCTTTAAAGCAACTTCAGCATCGTTCTCTTTCATAATTACTTGCGGTGCATCTAAAGCAAAATCAAATTACATCCAGACACAACTTTAAGTATAAAAGCTTGTTACTGTAAAGGAATTACAGTATGTTCAAATTCACCGATAAGAAAAGAGCAAAGGAAGAAGATCAGAATAAGGAGCTCATGCAGAGTTACGCTGAAATCCTCAGCAATGTTAAACATGATTTAAAAAAATCTCTATTAATTAGGAAGCCAGTAAACTAAAAACTTAAGAAAATAATATAAATCTTATCCAGTCAAAGCACCTTGTGAAAAGGAACAGAAACAAAGTAAAAACTAATCTCCTACAATTCAAGTGTCCTCTAGCTCTGCACATCTCATGTCCTCATATTTTTATATAAAAGACATAGACTAACAGCCATCATAATAACAGTGAAAAAGAAAACAGAACCTTTGGAAGCTGCACAATCTACTGCATCGATCTCCCAAGTAATGATATTATGATGAAATTTCCTGCATTTACCAAGGAATCAGTAGCTATGTTGTAAGGCTGCTAAAGTTTCTTCTATAATAGGTACACTTTAAGCTCCGCACTATCCAAATAATATAGATAAAAGATACATGATAGAAAGTTATGAGATTAGATTGAGAAAATGACATGTTAATGATCAAGTTTTCTACATGCCCAAATTCCAGTAAGTATGCAATAGTGCGAGGATTTTCACAGCATATCATGACCATAATTAAATTTTATGTGCATTCGTATCCACGAATTATTAGGCATCTTTTGGTGGTTGTAGGTGATCGTTTGAGGCAAAATTTGAAGTCAAAGACATTTCAAAGACCTAGTCGCAGAAAAATGTACATTTTTGCTTGTAAACAACCAAAGGAAAGGGAAAACATGCATGCATGTAGAGAACACACAATTATATACTGTAAACTAGGCAGGAAACCTTTTAATATAGAAGTAGTTCAGAAAATTTCAAGAAATATGTTTGACCTATCAGCAATATCAAAAACACAACCAAGACAGAGAAGCAGTAATTGAAATAACTAGGTAAATTTTTATTTTTAGAAATTAATAAATCCTATTCTATTGACTTGAAATGGAAACCATGCACAATATTTTCACGAACCTTATCTCCGCATTCAGACGAAGCATGTTGTGGATGAATTGGTCACTGCATAAAGCGAGAAAACTCAACACAGATGCAAGGGCAGTAAGTAAATAGAACAAACCAACAATTTAATTTCGAAACGAGCACGGGAGAGCGGCAATCTGCTACCGTAATGCTGCTTCTTCATTCTTGGGTCATTATGAAAGCACAAAGAGGTTCAATGAGAAGAGCAAAATATTTGAAATGAAACCCCAAAGAGAGTGAGTAGAGAGTACCTTGAGAGTTTCCAAGTCAGATCCAACGGCAGAGATCTGGTCTTGAATTAGAGAAACCCTCGCCTGTTTTCAAGTTAAATTAAAAGTATGGAGTGCATTAAACAGAGTGAGAGTAAGTGTGTTTATTAAGTAACCTCTAGCGTTTGAGCCGAAGCTTCACTTAAAAACAATTGAACTTCAAAGCCTTTGAGATCCTGTTCCACCAGTTCCTTGCAGCGCTTCGCATTTTCAAGCTCTGAATTGGCCTCGCTCAGCTCCCAAGTAAGCTTCTCGATTTGCTTTCTGAGAGTAACTACTCTCCTTTCTTCGCCGTTGAATTTCGAAGAAACAGTAATATTATATAATTGTAGCAATAAGCGTAAGTTATTGGAATGGAATGAGTACCTCCTTGAGATTTCTCAGCGGCGAAATTGCGGATGAGGTTCAACAGTTGTTTCTGCGGATCGCTTTCCCTTCCCCCCATGCCTCTTCCCGCTTCTTCCACCCACTAACCTTATTTATGATTAATTTGATTTTTTTAGTTGTGGAGACAAGTTGACCTTTTCTACGGAAAACCCGATTGAGTTATATTCATTAAATAATGTCAAGACGTTTTATCATAAATTATGTTTATAAATTATTCTTAATAGTTTTACTTAAATTTTTTCTGTTTTTATGCCTCTTTGATGATTAACTATCTTATATCTAATTTACTCTCTTCATTAAAATTTGTATAAGTCCTCTTCACCGTGCTCAAATTGATAAAACAAGTTTTTATTATCTTTTATGTTATAAAAATTATTTGATATATTATTTATAATTTATTAAATGAGTACTTATTGACAATAATCTTATAAATATTCAATTTTATTAAAATTTGACACAAATAATTTAGATAATATATAATTATAATTTAATATTTCACCTAACGTTGAGCTTGCTTTCAATGCTTTGGGAACACTTATAAATCTTACCAAGAGCTCACCTTATTCAAATCCTATATAAACATTAAGCAAAAGTGGATATTATTTATCTAATTCTCATGAAAAAGATTTAGTAATTTTTTAATGATGCATTTGGAACTTGAACAGTTACTTATTAGAATACAAAAATTATAAAAAAAAAAATATTTACAATTTTATTGGTACCAAATTGTAAGGAAAATGGTTAACAAATTTACATGTGCAAAAATTGTAAAATAAGATTTGCAATTTTCTTCGTGCAAAACTTGGAAGGAACAAATTCATTTGGTGAGTTGGTAGATAAATAATAAGTGCTGATTCAAGTTAAACATGCGTGTCCCTTTCCTTTTGTATCTCAGAATTTTAGAGATAAAGAATGTGAAGATTTTTCTGACTTTTCTCAGCAACTAGTATCAAAGTCGATATATGGTGTGTCCAAGAGCAAATGCATAGTTCCACTAAATAAACTGCCATACCATATATTGTTACTTTGCTAAATTACACACCGAGTTAAGTGTTAAATTGGCTTTACATTTAACCTTTACTCGTTCCACCTATCTTTAGTGGGTTTATCATCTTCGAAGACTAGACTAGATCATTCTTTTTTTCTTTTTTCTTTTTTTGCTTTTAAACGAAGCTTAAAAATCCAAAAAAGCACAAAACAAACTAGGTTAAAAACTTAGGCCAAGAGACTTGAAGAGCATCCAGCCTTAGAAAAGGTTCTAAAGAAGTGGGAGCTTTATCAAAACAATAGAAAAGACAACCCAACTTCATCTCCTAATTTAGCCATCCAATCAGCACATTGGTTAGTTTCCCTAAGAACATGATTAAATCTAACAAAACGAATATTTCTAAGAAGGTCCCTAATTTCCTTGATAACAGAATACAAATGATGATCACTATTCTGAACATTAACAACTAAATGCAGGGCATCCTTACAATCACAATCAATCCAAAGAACATGAATATGATTTGAAACAGCCAGCTTAAGGCCCCAAACAAGACCCCAAAGTTCAGCCTCAAGGGGAGTACAAAAATGAAGGGACTTATAAAAACCAGTTATGAAATTGCCTTTGTGATTTCGAATAAGGCCCCCACAACTAGCTTTTCCCAAAGATTGAAAGACAGAGCCATCACTATTAAGCTTGAACTGCTTCTCAGGGGGAGGTTGCCAATTGATTTGATCCTGAGGCTGCAGCCTACAGCCATGAACAGCACCAGTATCCCTGCCATAAGAAAGCAAATACTCAAGCTCAAACATAATTTTATTCAGCAAACCATCATTGTTCAAAGGAGAATTTTGAAATATAACACAATTCCTATTCTTCCAAAGGTTACAAGTAACAACAGCAGACAGAGATTTCCAACAAGGATATAAGGCAAAATTCAGAGAATTCAAGTTTAAAAGAAGCCAATTAGTCAGCCCCATGCTAAAAAATAAAGACCATTTATCAGGAGGAAGGAGCTTGAGCCAAATCTAGAAGTCCACCAGCAATCCCTTAAAACATGAATAACAGATTCATTAGCAGAATTACATCTAGCACATAAAGGAGAATTAGTCATTTTATGGTTAAATCATTTCTCATTAGTTAAAAGTCTACCATGAGCAACTTTCCAAAGAAAAACAGATAAACTATGAGGGCCCTTCCAGTCCCAAATAAGTTCAAAAACCTTATTATTATAGCTTTGATTTAGGAAAATTCCCCAGAGTTTCTAATAGCTTGCATGCTTCGCCTTTATGGAAAGGTATGATAGGCGTTTGTGACTTTTTTCCCTTAGACTTGGCTGGGTTTTAGGTAATGGTATGACTGTAAAATTCTGGCAGGATAGTTGGATCCCTGGGCTTCTTAAACTTTCTAGCTGTTCTGTTTTGCCTATTCCTGAGACAGAGTGGGAGGATTCAGTGGCTCTTTATTCTCTGTGGGGTTGCTGGGATTGGGGTGAAATTTAAAGATTTGCTCCCTAGATCTGTTTATTGAGCTGCCTATTTTATCTAATAATAAGACTAGATCATTCTTATCATCTTAATTTTTACCATCCAACATTTTTCTTTAAACATAGGTATAATGTCATCCTAATGAAATTCAATGGTTCACATCGCCGCCTATTTCTCCTCGTTTTATGTAATTGACTCTAAATACTTAAATCATGTAACTTGCTAAACAGATGTGTTTTTTAAATATTTCCTCCAATTGGGATTATTTTGGCTTCTTGTTTATTTCATATACTATATATTATGTATAAAAAGTGTGTCATTATTTGTTAATAAATAATTAATATAACTCAATTTAAATAAGCTTTTGGATAAGCATTTATAAGAAAAGAAACTTAATATAAAAATAATAATTTTTTTCATAAATTAAAAATATTTTATAGTCTTTAAATTTTAAAAAAAATATAAAATAAGTTGATTTTAACTTATAATGAATATTTGATTGTTTTTACTGTTTAATCTTTTACTCTTGTAAACACTTCAATAAGTTCATCTAAACTAGACAATATTATTTTAAATATAAGACTGCAGGAATAATGTAAAAGAGAATAAGACTTAAATAATAAATAAAATCAAAGTTACAAGATATTTTCACTTGTAGATGTAGTTCAAAGTTATCATTAGTTAGAAAAAATTTACACATTTAGTCTTGTATACTCCTACATACTTTTGTATAATAATGTTAAAAATAAAAATTTAAGACTATGTTTAAATTGATGAAAGGAGATAAATGAGTTAAAATATGCTAAAATAGTACAAATCAAATAATCTAACGGTTGCAAAGTTACTTGAAAGTATGTAATAATAATAATAATAATAATAGAAAGAGGTAAATTTTCAATCGTTAAATTATTTGATTTGTACAGTTGAGATTTGGTGTAGATGTCAATAGATCTTATCCCATATATATGTGTGTGTGTGTGTGTGCATGCTAAAGCACAAGGTTCAAAGTGCATAATAATATTACATGTCACCAAATTTTTTTTCTAAATTATTTAACTATTAAACATTACCAAATAAGCATATAACTCATAATACATAAATAAGATAAACTTCTTTCCTCCTCTTGACTTCTTCCTCAATCATCTACCCTAGTTGGAAAAGGATTAAGATCAATGTCAAAATATGCAGTTGCATGGCAAAGAGGAAAAAATACCTCCACTCTAACTTCTTTCTCAATCATCTAACCCAGTTGGAAGAGGATAAGATCAATGTCAAGATATGCAACTGCATGGTAAAGAGAAAAAAGTACCTTAACTCTAACTTCTCTCTATATAATAGTATGATTAACATAAGAGTTATTAACAATAGTTATATTTAATATAATAAAACTCTAAAAAATGATGGTTTGTTTGGAGTCATTGGAACTCCACTCCCTAACTCCTATACTAAAAGTCAAGGTATGCATAGGAGTGATGTTCGGAGGGCAAGTATACCCATCGAGAAGTAATAAAGGGTTTTTAAATTAAGTTTCCGAAATATCGTCCTACAATAATTGATTTTCAATTACTAAGAATTTCCTAATTCAATTGTTTAAGCTTCAAAGATACGAAATTAATTAAAATAAAAATTTATAAAATCAATTATAAAACTAAGAGTAAGGAATACAATGCACGTCTTGGTTAAACTTATCGGAGAGGAACCTAAGGCATATGGGTTTTCTCATTCAATCATTTATGTTATTTTTTTTGTTGAACTCTAAATCTAATTTCCTTGTGATTACTAATCATTCATACGAATACTATTAATACCCAATGGTCATGCAATATTAATATTCTTTTCTCTAAATTAACATCCTCAATGGTCATGTAAGACATCAATTTAAGAAAGCTTAAGAAACCTATGAACTTGTTAATTTAATAACAATTAGAAGAAAAAGATTGATTTGGTCCACCTAATTCTTTGTCTCGTTTTACCTTATAGATCTATTAATTAATCGAGGTACGGTCGCTTGACGATATAATTAATTAGGATTAAGAGAGAAGCGTAATAGGATAAAATCTAATCACGAAACAGAAATCAAATTTAGATTCAAATGCCAAAACTCCATAAATTCATGAACAATAGTTCACATAGCCCTAACTATAGACTTAGTTACTCGTGCTAAAGAAAAGAACTAAAACAATCATAAACAAAGTCATAATTAAAAGAGATAGCAAACTAGAATGAGATGAGTTCTCAGTCTTTAAGTACAGTCGCTCGAAGCTCCAAGTCTCACCAAGAGTATGCCAAAAATTCCGTGCAAGAGAGACGAGATGAGATGTATCCTAGAGCAAAAGTCAAGATAAAAATGGTATCCCTACGATGCCTGAGGTTTCCGTTTTAATAGGGTTTGAAAACCCTAAAGACTCTTCATAATTAGACTTCCCGCAGATGAGTACGACCGTGCAAGGCCTTAAGCACGACCATGCATGGGCTCAAAGCACCCCCCGTGCTTATTAAATGGGTATAGGCGTGCTAACTGTTGCGAAACTCTAATCTTCCATCAATTTGGGCCCAAAATGCATCCAAAATCAATTTGCGGTTTCTTTATACCAAAATGCATAATTAATATATAAATAAGTGTAAAATTTAAATAAATTAAAGGTCAAATATGAATATATGGGCTGTAAAAGAGGGCCTAATTACACAAACTTATCAAGTGATTGGTGTACTTCCACTCATTCTACATCCATATATATTGGACATATAAAAAAAAGATAGATAAAGGTGAGTACAAACATTCATAAACAATCAAATAGAGAATACTTATGTTTAAATGAACAAAACATCATTCATGCATCAACGATACCAAGCATTAACAATACATATGCTTAAATGAACAAAACAACATTCAAACATCAAGTAATACCAAGCTTTAACAACACATATGCTTAAATAAATAAAATAACATTCAAGCATCAAACAACAATCATTCAATGTCTTTTGTTTATGAATTATCCATAGAGTAATTAATTAATTATCTAATATTTTAATTTCAGATTAAGATTGAGAGTTTTGTGTCTGCAATTTTCCTAATGTCATAAATGCATCTTTTTCCTTTACCGGATACAGAACATAAGTACACAATTATCATTTTATGATCACTACCAATAGCCTACGGTCAAACCAATCTTGGTATGTTTTAGTGCTTGTCAAGATAGGCTAGCAAAGTTCCCACTACTTACGATACAAGTTAACTAGGCTTTGTCCCTATATGTCTTAGGCACTCTCCTATTTCCTATGGTCAAACCAACCTTATTTGCTCCTTACTTGTACTGTAGCATATTCAACCTCTTTCACCATCACAAACATAAACACAACAATTTCATAGACATTAACTATCTAACAGGTACATTATAACATCTCTATATTAAGAGAACAATTGATCACATAGACATGGCTAACAATCAAAATTTTTTAGATTTCATAAATCAACTTGTAAAGTTCATATCTAATTCAATACAAGTCCAAACGTCATAAAATTACCAACACTTTCTTCCCTTAAATGTCTACTGTAATATAAGATTACAATCAAAATTCAAATACGTCCAGAGAATTCATTAAATCTCAATTCATATCTACTGGTCTCATATTAATTCATAAAACAGCCACCACATTAGAAAATTCATAATAAATTCATTTCTCATCCAAAACATATGAGACTAGTGAGGTTATTTTCCTTAACATGTCTATATTCATATAAAAATACTTTCAAAATCAAACTATTCACATACATCAATTTGTGCTTTAATTTCTTAGGACATGCCACAAAATATCATAATTTAACATATTGGAAAAATCATAAATCATTCAATTCACCATCAAAACTCATGAAACCAGCGGCATTATTTCACTTTGGGTATATGTTTCACAAAAAAAATACAAGTAAAAAATTATCACTCTCCGATTTCAAAATAAGTCCTAAACATCCTTTATTACTCACAGTAACTTACTTCTCAAAATTAGTTAAAAAGAAAAATTATAACTATTTTATTTTAAGTCCAAAATTCATCAAACCAGTGAGGATATTTTTCTTATAGTATCTATTTTTATGCAAAAATACTAATAAAATAACATCACTTATACCCTTTGAAATAAAAATAGGTTTCTCAATAATATGCACAAAAACGTTTCTCTCATGCAACAACATATTGAGAAAATCATAAATAATTGATTTTAACTTCAAACTGATCAAACTCAATGAGCTTATTTTCCTTATGAAGTCTACTTTCAGAAAAAATATAAATAAAATAAAAGAATATTTTAATTTTAAGATAAAAATAATTTAAAGTATGTTGTTTCTCAGGAAAACATTTACTCATAGCAAAATATTCAAAATTCATAACTATTTTATTTCAATTCTAAATCAAGTGAGTGAGCATAGTTCCATTAAGAAATGTATTTTCATACAAAAAGATCAATAAAATAATGCTACCAAAAGATATTAAGACAAT